TTAATCATCAGTTTGTCTTATTGCATTATATTCTAAATGATTGATTGATACAAAACTATTAGGAGAATAGCCTACATCAAACAGAAGGCATCGATCTTTTTATTACTTCAGATAGAATGATATTATTGGATACTCAAGTACGAATATAATTTTGATAAATCATTATTATTATTATCATGTTGTACAAAATCGAGAATGAAGTTATTTCTTATCAAATAGCTAATTATCGTACTATATTCCTAAACTGACAGCCTATCCTCAGCTCTTCAATTACAAATCACATCATCAATAATACAAGGAACTATCGTTTGGACGATACTCCAATAGATGTTTACATGGAAATCCAGGTTAAAATACAAAAAGATATTAAATATTCGCAATAGATTTTACATATACTCCCAACTATTATCATTGTACGAGAAATGACGTTGAGTTGAGTTCTTAACCTGTAAAATTTCATGAAATGTAAAATATAGTCGCTTAAGCAAGTATCCTTCCTGTACTCTGTGTGCCATGTTGTAATCGTGGTTCAAGATTGGTTTACTGATCTAAGTTTGCTAAGGTATTGCGTCAATAGTATTAGAACCTATTTGTTAATACACTAGTAGATCCTAAACCCATTAATAAACTCGGCATCGTATTCTCGATTTATTAGACTTTATGTTTCGTTTATTAGGTTTTTACTAACAGCTGAAATGCTAACCAAACCAACATCAAGTGAAATTAATGCCAAGGAAGTATCTAGGTAGGTATTTAATTATATTGAGGATTAAAAAGTTGTATATTTTCAATCATTAAGCCAGCAGATATCATACAAAACTTTAAGAGCATTTTTCGGAAATTGTTTATTAGCTTGAAGGAGCAAAGTAATCAACTGCCCAATATAGGTAATTGTGTCTGTACCGTATATTCTATTACATCAATGAAGAACTTTCATGAGTGTATATTTCAATTTTTTTATAATAATATATTATCATCTTGATACTCCAAATGAAAAGTTCTATTTTAAAATTTTATCTGGTCTATTTTTAGTATTTGTTTACAATAGAGCGTGTGAGAAAGATTATCATCCTGATTGTCTTAATAGCATGCTTTCCGTAACCGAAGAGTTATTTCGACATTCGCGATTAAGATACCGCGGTAAGCATTGTCGCAAAAGAATTGCATAGTAATAAATGTAGTAGATAAGTTAAATGATATAATGACTGTCCTTAGCCAGTATTGACAACATTAATTACGATCTCCATTTCCAATTCCATAATCATCCTTCATGATCTAATGCCATTGCATGTTTTCAGGTTCGGTATCTCAGTTCCAGTTTGAAGTTGTCAATGCTACAGGTATAAGCAAAAGCCTAACTGACATAAATATATTTTTACTACCGATATACGATTGCAACGAGAAAGAATCAGATAAATTCGATACCGCTAGCGCAGGTACGTATCTAAAGTAATTTGACGTTCGTAAAATGTAGGCTTGGTCTTTTTTTAATTTTTAGCCACATATTATTTCTTCATTAGAGAATCCAAATTCTTCACCTACCAATTTATATATGGGACATCCAAATTACGACGTACTTTATCAAAGCCTAGAGAATCAGGTACGTGTAACTATAATAGATGGTATGACCTGCAATTACTGATATTCTCTTAAATATTTTTAGATCCTAGCTATTCCCAGAGACTCGTTTTCTAATTCACTAACCGAAAGGGGATGGTATGCATAATAGACATTTCATTTAATTCTGTAAAAGTAATGTAGAATTTGTCAGGAATTATTAATATACGCATATATATAAAAAACCTTCCATGCAATTTGATGTAGACATTAATTATAGAATTTATTCTAATAGGCTAAATTACGCAATGCAATGTTGGGAACAAATTGAAAGATCTTCCGTAATGATGGATTATAAACGTCTCCTTTTATATTCTTGAGCCATAGCAGAGTTAATCTGTGTTTCCAAGACTATTATAATCTGATTTGGTGATGCCATATTCTATTGTAATCGCGAGTTGTCATACGTATGGCAGTATCGGTACTGAGGAGTTGTATTTAACAAATAATGGATACGAAGACAACCGGTGCAAGGCGTATCGAATACACATTGCCATTTTAGTATGAAAATGATTGAAATGGAGTATGTGATAGCATAAAATTCATAACGTAAACAGCTGGAGGTATGAAGATCGCTATTTTGGAGCAAATTTATATAGTATGATATATTATTATCAAAGGTATATCATACTAGTGTAATTATCATGAAAATATTCCGTTTCTTTCGGACTGAACCTATGATACATGGTAGCCTAATGCAGTCACTGGTCGATGAAATGAATCGCTGGATCGGGTTATTTCCAATACTGACTGTATCATATGTCACAATTCGATTTTTATTACCGCGTGGACATGATAATCGACATAACAGTAAAACTCTTTTACAATCTCATGCTGATACAATAACTGTATTTGTAACTATTAACACCATAATCTGATGAATTGTTATTTTAGGACTGTAATATAGATTAGATAATTCAAGATAAAATCTAACCTCTGGAATTGATGATTCATTAACCATATCGTTCATTTTGATAAATATTAATAAATGGTGCCGGTAACGAAATGGGGTCATGAAGCAATTTCTAATTATACAGTAGTGGCTTGTAAGGTTTATTTTAAACCAGAATGAGCAAATGCAATAAGGCTATCGAATGAATGAATATTGAAAGTTTCAGCAACCCTTTGAAAAACTTATTTTTACCAATCTCGACAAATTATGAGTGATACAGTAGTTGATCACATTAAGACTAGATATTAGGAAATGATATAGCAATCAGAAATCAAGTGTTTTGAGTATTTCCAGAATGTTGTTCAACTTCCTTACTATGTGCATATATGCGATCGCATATCGTAGCCCTTCGCTACATTAAAATAGATTCCTAATATCAATATTTTGTTGGATGCGCAATTAACATACTCGTACATTACAAGCAGTTTGCAATGCTTTATAATACTGTATGTAGAAGTATAAAATGCTTATCGAAATAAAGGTAGTCATTATTATAACCTTGGGCGAATATCGCTAAGGATGCCGATCATACGGGTATGATAACCTAGTACACACGTAGGCTTCATAATCTTTATTACTTACTGTTTCTATACTTAATTTTTCAATCGGCGCAATATTTGTTGTAATTTTGATAGTAAACTCTATAAATACGGTGTGCTAAGCACTAGCTCGCGTAAAATTTGATAATTGTTAGTAAGGTTTAAAATAAAATTTAATTGAAATCCCTTACTATGGTGTCAGTTATTTACTGTGTTTACATTCCGTGAAGTACTAATAGTCGAAGTATCCAGAATTCCTATCATTTAAGGCCAATCGTAGTAATGCCGTGATATACCTGGCGTACTTTTATCTATAGAATGAAATCTATTCGCGGCGAATACAACAACTTCAATTTAATATCATAAATGGAGATATCTTTTATATCAGTCTACAGACTATTCTCTTAAATGGCACATATTCTAAAATGAAATGTACCAGTAGCGAACATATCAAATTGCTCGTCAATTATTAGTTAACAATTTTAGTCTAACGGTGCGATAGGTAAAATGGGGAGGTCGTGATATCGGCCTATAGACTAGTCACTTAAAGGCACGCATTCTGAAATAAAATGTATCTGCAGTCAATACATCTAATTACTCGCCGATCACTTCTTTACAGTTTTCATTTAACGGCTCAGTAGGTAAATGGAGATGTCCTTTGCATCGGTTTACAGGCTAGTCCACTGAAAGATACGCATTATAAAATGAAACCTACCTACAGTGAAAATATATCAATTTATTCGTCAATCATTACTTAACAATTTTAGTCTAGCGTCGCTAAAAGTACAATGAAGATATTCTTTCCATTAATCGACGAACTCTGCAGACTACTTTACACTAATCTATAGACTTAAAGACACGTATTATAAAATTAAATCTATCTACAGCGAATGATATTGATCAAATGTGCCAATTTACACGCTAATAATATAGTAACAAATTACTGGAACTTCGTAAAAGGTAAAATGCAGATGTCCTTTACATTAATGTATAGAATAAATCACTCAAGATACGTATTAGAAAATTAAATCTATCTACAGCGAATACTATTCGCCGAATATACCAATTTATTCACTAACAATGCAGCTACAATTTCGCTGAACTTTACAAAAGGTAAAATGGAAATGTCTTTTACATTAATCTACAGACTAACTCACATAAAGACATATGTTATGAAATTAAATCTATCTACAGCGAATAATATACGTTAAATTTATCAATTTGCTCATTAACAATGTAGTAACAATTTAGTCTAACGTCGCGAAAGGTAAAATAAAGATATTCTTTACATTAATCTACGGAATAGTTTACAAAAGACATGTACTATAAAATAAAATCTATCCACAGCGAATATATTACTTTACTCGCAAACAATCCATTGTAGTGATAATTTTAACCTGATGTTGCAAAAGGTAAATAAAGATTACCTTTACATTAATCCACAGACGAGTTCACTAAAGAAGAGGTATTATAAAACGAAATTTATTTATAGCCAATAGAACAGCTTTCTCGCTAATAATTAATATGATAACAGTTTTACTCTAAGGTTATCGATGGTAAAATAGAAAGAATCAAGTCTAACTTCACAAACGGTGAAATGGTGGTATTCTTTACATTAATCTACGGATTAGTTTGCTAAAAGATACTCATTACAAAATTAAGTCTATCCACAGCAAATAGATTAATTTACTCGCCAACAATGCATTGTAGCGACCATTGTAGCCTAGGGTCACAAAAGGTAAATGGATATTTCCTTCACATTAGTCAATAGACTAGTTCACTGGAGGACACATATTATAAAATGAAATCTATTCGCAGCGAATAGAACAGTTTTCTTACTAATGATGTAGTAACAGTTTTACTCTAAAGTTATCGTTGGTCAAATGGAGATGCATTTTATATTGAACGCTGTGGTTGATGGATGAAATATACATGTGACAAAATGATAAGGCGTTCAAAATCTGGGCCAGTTTAAGTTATAATTCTAAGCTCTTTCTATTACATAAGTTACTAACTGATTGGCGTTTAAGAATCTTCTCTTCAATTATAGATTGTAAAAGAAAATTATATATACAAGTATAATTACTCTACGTTAAGCTTAAAGTCAATACGCTATGAAAATTCAAGAAAAATCTCTAGATTACAGTATTAGCTATAGTAATGAATTGCCAATCCAATACTGCATATAAATTAAAAACTCTTCTATTCGGTAGTAAAGGATTAGAAATTCATTAGGAAATTTGTAAAAGAAGAAAGATTTCCAATTGAGAATGCAAGGCTCCATTTAAAGCAAAGAATCTTTATTTGATATTAAAAAAAGTATTGAAAATTCACGACAAAAATTGATTATGAAATACGAAAGTTGTATAGACAACAATGATAATCAAAGTTCTAATTCGTCAATGCAATACATTATTAAAGCCAAAAAGTTTCTATTCGATAATAAAGTATCAGAAGACTGATAGGCTATAAAGAACATTCTAACTATCAATCGTATTACCCCTAACGGTGACTTAAGTTCTAATTCGTCAATGCAATGCGTTATTAAAGCTAAAAAACTTCCATTCCATAATAAAGTGTCAGAAGACTGATAGGCTATAAAGAACATTCTAACTATCAATCGTATTACCCCTAACGATGACTTATAAAGTTGCATAGTGTTGTATTTAAAATTTGTTACTTTATGCATGAAATTTATCAATCCCCTAACTAGTCAGAAATTCGAAGCAAAAATACTGCAACCCTGCAGGCTCTTCCACCATCATTTACGTTAATAATTTTAATTTTTTCATTGAAAAATGGTCTATAATTCACGCTTTATTAACATTGATAGCAAATATTAGCAATATTGCTCAGTGTATATAGCCACTTCAACTGAATGATAGTTATATTACAAATTTAAAGTGCATTAAAAAAATTGAACCCAAAAAATTGCAGTTTTATCCAATGTGGTATATCGCCTATCTACGTTTTCCTACGCCAAGTAGATCAGGACAAATTCACTATCGGTTGAATTTGAAAAAAATATCGATTGAACATGGTACATAGTAGTTCTTGAAATCAAGTGTAGTCGTAAGTTGGAGATGAGAATTGAACAATATTTTAGGAATTGTAGCTACGAAAGCGCGATCTAAATTTTTTTTCAAAGTACATTGATAAGCGACCATTGGGATCATTTACTAAGATGAATTCTACCGAATCACTTATTAAAATACGTATATTGATTCTCCAATCACTCCAAATTTTATACTTTAAACCATGGATTGGCGTAATACATTTATTTAACGGATATTCGCTATTATTCATATTTCGATTTAATGGCTTAATGGAAATTGGTCACTTTTACCATATTAACTTTCGTCTAATATTTTCAGTTAATATTGACATTAAATTTTTAGGGACAATGCAATAGTCTTTATATCCATTTTTACGCCTAAATATAGTACAAATACAATATTATGAAATCCTATTAAAAATAGATAAAGCTTTACCGCAATGGATATAAACTTTCTATCCACTATTGAGTCTTGTTACCATCATGTAACTTATTGAAGTTAAGAAGAGCTATTTTTATTTTTTTAAATAGTATTCAAAGATTTTTATCAATGGATAAAAAGG